TTGGTGTCAATGGTCAGACATGATTATTCGAGTAGATAAATGTAGCACCTTCGGCATCAAAAAAGCTCTCACCAAATCAATTCAATACCTCCCTAAGTTAATCATTAACAAATCTATTATTCCAGATGTTGAAAGTGGAAAATCATTCTGTTATTTAGGAAGGTCTTTGATTACGAAATGACAAACAATGAACATAAATCAGAATTAGTCTCCCTATTGACAGACCTAATGAAAGAAATAGATCTGAAGCCATTACATCCGAAAAACAAGATTCTCCTCTACAGTCGCTACGTTCTTTCAAAACTCTCATGGCATTTCACTGTAGCATCAATTAAAAAAACGTGGATTTCCGAAAACCTGGACTCAGTTTTCAAACAATACATTCGTGAATGGCTTGAGGTACCTATTTCTGGATCACTTAGTAATATTTACCTAACCAGTAACAAATTTGGTCTGAACATTATCTCCCCATCAACTAAATTCATACAATGTCAAACAACTATCCGCAGTGCTTTGAAGTCATCTCCTAATGAATCAATAACCCACCTCTGGAAATCGACCTGTAATCATACTAACACCCAATATGATCAGTATACGTCGACAAAAGAAGTAATCAAGTCATTCCGTGAAGTTCATGAAGATAAATTGGAAAATCGGTTAAAATGTCAAGGTTCATTCTTCTCCAGCATCTCAAAATTTTCACTACCCCAAGTAAATTCGATTTGGCCAACCTGTCAATCCAAACTAAACATTTTCAACTTCACTATTCGCTACATAAACAATTCGCTACCAACCCGTAAAAACCTTCAAAAATGGGGACTCTCCTCGTCCTCTGAGTGCTCGTTTTGCCTTAAACCTGAATCTCTGTTACACGTTGTTGCTGGCTGTAGTTCCTATCTTGATCGATTTACTTGGAGACACGACTCAATCCTAAATTTTATTGCTAATAACCTCCCATCAGAACATATTCAGACCATTTATGCGGACTTACCGTCATTCCCTAATCCCTCTATTATTACTGGTGATGACCATCGTCCTGATCTACTAATTTTGACCAAAGACAATTGTCTGTATGTACTCGAACTAACCGTTGGATATGAGACTAACCTGAGGAATAATATACAGCGCAAATATTCAAAATATAAAGAGATGATCGTAGAACAAAAGAAAAAATTCCGGCCGGTAAAGTTCATTAACCTCTCAATCAGTGCACTCGGTGTTTTTGAAAAAGAATCTTCACATTTCATACAAATGTTGGAACATTAGAACTCAGATAAGGCCGGTGTTAAATATATCATTAGGAAAATCATTAACATTGCAATAAGAACGACATATTACGTTTTCTGTTCTAGAAACAAGGATTGGTCAAATCCAGATTTAATAAACTTCTAGTTAGTCTCTTACTTTTTGTATCATATAATTATGTCCATGTGTTATGTAAATGTAGTAATATATAGCTATCAAGTAGCCAATTGTAAATTACCTTTAACAGTGAGATTTTCAATTATAAGTGCAAAAAAATTCAATAAAGTTTTCATTATTATTATTATTATACTCCAACGAAAACTGTCTATAGTTGTACGATTGTATAAGATATATCATTTTAATGTTCCAGCCTCTTACGTAGGCGCCTAAGAAGGAAAAGCGTGCTATGCACTTCAGTGCTATATATAGACCAGTGGGTAAGCTATGCGAACGCGCGAGGGTGCTTGGGGAGGACGCGATGGAAATTTATCTTGTCGCACTCCAGCGCGCTCGCTCAGCTTAATCACTGATCTATATATAACACTAAAGTGCTTTGCGCGATTTTCTTTACTGAGCGCCTGGGTAAGAGGCTGTTAATGTTACACAAAATTTGACGACTCTAAAAATACACAATCAGATGTTTCAATACTTACTTATCACCAATCATACACGCTTTTTGCGGATCAATGTTGTGTCTGCAAAAGTTGGAAAAATAGTATGATGTATAGTGTATACATGAGTCGTACAGAGCAGAGAACTGGAGAGGTAACCCCATTCCTATTTTTATTAGCAAGAATAATATAAGACGTGATGCGGAGTGGGGGGGGGGAGGTTTGCAGGGTTTTGCATAGCCACATTTCTACTCGCGACACAGAATCTGAAAACTCGCTTAATTCATCATGCATGTACACGTTCCTATAAGACAAAAAAAAACCTTTTATAAAAAAAAATCAATAAATAGGATTATTTTAAGGATGTATTATTGATATAGTCGCTTATTTGAAGACGTCTTGAAAACTGGGAGTATCCAGATTGTCATCCCGCCCCAGATTTCATCAGATCTGCAATAGTCAACTGGTCTAGTCAATTACACATCATTTAAAACAGAGCAACTCACTGGTGTACTATACAATCCATAATTAACGTCCCTGGCTTTCCAACAACGGTTGCCTTCCTTTCTGCTGATATTTCTGTTGCCGTAACCAGGCTACCTGTGCCTATATAAAACCCAGGAAAGATTAAGGAATTACACTGTCTTACAGTAGTTTGATATTTGCCTCGTACTAGATATGGACAATGTTGCTAGGTTAAAGCCGTTTTCCATTACGGTCCATTTGCACGCACGAAAGGAGCGACGTACAGTATACAAGTCACGTGTGTAATTAGTCACGTGCACGGCAAAAAGGTTGAATCTATTTCAGCTCTCGTGACGTACACGCAAGGGCTAAAACGGACTAAGAACTGTCAAGCTGGACAGCTACAGCGCATATTCAAAAAATGTTCACTCGTCCAGCGCGGACAAAGCAACCGTAACTGAAAACGATCTTTATAACTGGCTTAGATTGTACTAATATTGGTTAATACCAATATAAAGATAAAGAACAAAGAGATCAGAAGATGTGGAGTGGTAGCTATTGCAGAGAAGGCGAGGGAAGCAAGGCTGAGATGGGTTGGTATTAATAAATAAAGGGGAGCCAGTCAGAGAAAGGCATTACAACAGGCTTTTAGCCAGAAGAGCGTCCAAGCGTCCTGGGATGCCCCTAGAACGAAAAATGGACGCCTTTGGACGCCCAAATACCGAGGGAAAAGGGAAATTATTTTCAATGATTTCCCTAAGTATATTATTAAATATATATCTGAAGCGAAATAGCTTCAATTCTCATTATTATTATACATTTGACATTTTGATAAATTTGATGGTGTACCTGGCTGAATGAAACTGTCGTAGTTAAGTAAAGAAGCATAGATGCATAAACTCACAAAGCCAAGTGTTTTGAAAAATTTCGAACAAGCGTGGAACAGATACTGACATGAAGTAACTTAAAATTCAAAGGTCTTCCAGAGGAACGTTTTTTCGAACCCCCTCCCCCCCCCCCCCCCCCCCCCCCC